CGGCTGAAGCCCAGGAAAAAAGTAACAACGCATCCACAAGTCAATAAGATCGGTAAACATCATTGGCCATCGCTGCTTTGTGCTGCTCCCATCAACGATGTCTTAATAAAAACCAACCGATGTTCAGCATCATGTCGACAGCGCCCATGAAGCATCACCAGCAAAGCGCAGAAACCCATGAGACCCTCTCCAAGGCCAGCAACATCGTCCCTAAGCAGTCAGAAACTGTGATGATACACAACAAGAGCACAACCACCTATCATGTTGCCTGCAGTGAAAACTCTTCGGCCTAGCTTATAGTGTTACTTGAAGCTCCTTCTTTCATGAAGAACTTCTCACTGTCCTTCTTTTTCATGATGCCCACACTTTCCTTCGTCTTTTTCACTAAACACAAGAGTTCAGCGAACGATCACGAACCACGTTTCTCACAATCCCAAACAATCCATCGTTCGCATGTACAATGAGAGCCGGCTTTGGGCGGCTCAGAATCCCATCCGATCCCCGGCCTTCTTTCGTCTGAAAGAACCTCGGCCGGCAGGGCGCTGCCTCAACTCCCTTTTGCCAACCCAATCTGTTTGGCCATGTGATTTAAACCATCTTTGAAACTGGATCGCGGTTTCACCGTCTCTCTTCGGGTCCATGTTTTCACCCCTATATGATACAACTTACGGCATGAAAGAAAGATATTATATGGAAACATCGATGGACATCGGACATCGTGAAAAGATGTGAAAAGTACATTTGGACATATTGAAAACATTTGAACACCAACTTTTCATCTATGCTTCTGGGCTTCACAACATCTTTATCTCCGGTCCCTTCCACTCACGTCCTCGACGCTCCGTCGTCCGTCGTCGACGTTCCGGCACCGGTGGCAGTTCTCGTTCTCGACGGTGTGGGGGGTGAAAACCCCGAACAACGCGCTCGTTTCAAGGCGATTAAAGAACCGGACATCGGCTCCTTTCCGACAAAGGCGTAGCTCCCTTCCAAGCACCGGCATTGGTCGATGTTTGTCACGGAAAAAACAGGTCCCTTCGAAGACCACGTTTCAAGACTGTGATATGCGTGGTAGACCAAATGTCAATCGCCAAAGGAGCTTTCTGGGGCCGCCTGAAAACATGGACTTGTGGAGGAACATGTCCTTCCAAACCAGGTTGCTGCAACAAACAGAACCTGAGGATGACCAACTCCAAGCAACTTCTTCTCAGGTTAGAAGCAGCCACATGTCCAGGCAATTGCTATGACTGTTGGTTGGACTGCTACCTTGTGGTCACTCTATCAAAGTCATAATGCAATTGCACCCTTAGTATCTATATTGATACATATTGATCAGCGAAGCAAACTGTTGCAACTCCAGTTTAAGAAGTGTGTGCTCGATGGTACGCAGGCTTAGCATACTTCCAAGTGGTATTTTTCACCACCCTTAGAATAGAACACCAACTTTTGCCGACCTTCCAAGCACTCTGTCGAGCCCAAAGCGCGTCAGAGGTCATCAGCAAGATTCTGTTCAAAGGACGTCCTTCTTCCACTCCGCACAACACAACACATGGCAGTGAAAAAAATGGCCAAGCTCAGCTTCATCCTTTTCCTACGGTGCAAGAAAACGCGCCGCAAAACGTTCGTGGCGAATTGGTTTCGGCGAGGTCCCGGCGTTGGTCTCGGGACCACCTTCGAATTGTCGTCATTTGCCGCGCCAGCGTGTGACTTCGGCGCGAATTAGGCACCAAACAGGGCCGACCATTTGGAGGACCAGGAGTGTTTCAAGCAACGGGAAGATCAATGGAAGGTGCGTAGCTCAAGAAAAGCACAGTTCATGGGGTGTGATGACCAAAGATGTGTGCGGTCTGCTGAATTGAAAAGGGATCTGCTGCTACGTGACTGCGGCCCTTCACATCTGAGCCTCGTCAATCTGTCCCTCATCAACCTGTCCATCATCAACCTGTCCACACGATGGCGACACTCAAGGCTCTTGATATTATAGGTGTCAGCACACATGGAGTGTTCGTTCACCCCCATCCTTTGATGGGTGCTTAGCTTCGCATCCTTAAACTTCGCAATAGCTCAGAAGAGCTTTCGGTGACCAGACCTGGACCGACCATCACTCAGCCCGGTGTGTTTCAGGCTTCGGCATCACAGCCCGCCCGCCCCACCTCGTTCTCGGCATAGAGGATACCTGGAGCGTGTCAGCGCACCACTTGGTGGTCACCAGTTGGTGAAAAACAAATTGAACGCCTTAACACTTTCAGGAACCAAAGACTCGTTCTACAAGGCATTTATAGGCATTTATATATTTAGTTCGAGGCTGCACCAATTCTGAACTGTATTGATGCCAACGAATCAGTGGCAGTGACGGGCCTTCCATCTGGCTATGTTCCCATCTTTATGTGTTTCTCGACACGCAGGTTGTGGTTGTCAAATGAGGGTTCTTGATTCTTGTATGTTCTTGTCGTCGTTTCATTTTGAAATCAGCATTGTCTTATCGGTCTTTAGGAGCCGGTCACAGACTGTTGTGTTTTTCTTGTCATACCATACTTGTCCTGTCAAGAAATTACTAACCGGCATCAGCCACCTATGGAACATGACCAACCAAAATGACACAAACAACACACAGAACCTTTGCAAGTTCTAGAGTCTACAGTCTGGGCTGAAGGACGCTCCCAATTCCAAGCAGCATCGAAATTCCAGTACCAACCGTGCGGTTTGAAGACCCACCCATACCCAAGGTGGGTACTGGGATCGGCCGAGGTGGCATACAAATCGCTGACCCACAGGGACACACACGGACCGAGTCATCGCTGTCACGGCTTCCCACACGGAATTCCGTGCGATCGGCGTTGGTGGCGTTGGCGTGCGATCGTGGCGTGGTGCTGGGAGCGCAGGAGCACCGGTGCTTCGGTGTCTTCGTCCGTTTTCGCCCTCTGTTTTCCAGACATGACTTGACATCATCAGGAGGGCCATGTCGACGTCAGAGAAGAATGACGTGTCGCGTGTCACAAAACACAAGAACAAACATCACACACAACTCTTACAGGACAGTACAACCATTGAAGTTACACAAACAAAACCCGAACCAGAAAACTATGAAATACCACTGTTAAGTACAACACACACACACACACACACACACGTGCACGTATGAGATGCAAATACTCATTCACTATGATAGTACATTCATGTAAATGCCCACCAAACAAAACACCACACTGTGGCCTTGCACATCCTCCACCACCTTCTCAGCCTTGAGCTCGGCATCCATGCTGGACTGAGACAGTCGGGGCGGAAACAGTGCAAGAGATGTTCACGTCTCACACATTGCGCTGAACAAACATGTTCAAAAGTCAGAACAACACCCAACTGGATCCCTTAAACTGGAACACGGCTGTGGAAAGTGTGTGTTTTTGAAAGAATCTCCAGTTGATCTTTCTGAACCTCATATCTGGATGGGTCTGTTTCTGGACCTCTAGGACCTCTAGGCCTCTAGGCTGGTCACCGGGTTTTTGCTGTTCAGGACCTCAACGGCGAGTCTTGTATTAACGGCATCTGAAGACATGACGAACACATACAAAAAACAAACACATATGTGTCTGGCATTTTGGGGCCGCGAAGCAGCCCTCCATCGCAGGAAACTCGGTTGAAACATCCAATGACTATCTACCAAAACAACCAATTCCCACCGTGTTCTCTACCGACCGAGCGACTCCGGTTCCATGTCTGTTCGGTCGGCGCCTTGAGGGTGAGGCACAAAATCTCCACCTCACGGAGCTTCCTGCGAGGCGTTTGACGGCGCCAGCGTGGGGTGCTAGACCGACGTGGTCTGGAGAGAAGAGTGCGGAGCTCGCACCCCAACCTGAAGTAGTAGTCCCGCTCACGCTCCAAACCATCCAAGTTGGCGCGCAGTTCCAGAATCTCCTGCGTGGGCGGGCTGTCTCGAGTCTCGCCGCTCTGTCTCGAAGAATGACTCGGCATGCCTTGACAAACAACGTGTCGTTCTTCCCAAACAAGAGTGGAGGGTTTCTGAATTTACTGCTCACTCCGGCATTGAAGGCAGGGCACGAGAACGAAAATCATGCATAGTTACCGGCATACCGGAAGAACTGAAGTTGGACTCGACCTCTGTCCGTTCGTCTGGCAGGAAACGATCAGCCTTGACTTGAGCTATACAGCTTGACAGATCAATGCGCCAAGCGATCATCCAATTTCGACAGATCGACTTGTCACTTTCGTCCTCATCTATCATCATCATATCACAAAAATATACAAAAATGATTACCCCCACCGTCGCAGCGAGCGAATGCGTCTTCTCTTTTCCGAATCCGAATCCGTCGTCATTGGCCACGGCGAGAGGTCCCGATCCGACTCTCAAGCTGCATCCGCTGTCCAGCGCTGTCTGACTCGCCGGTGTAAACGTGGAACGTTCCAAAGGGGATAGAAACGTGGAACCTTCTCAGGTTCACCACTGGACCCTCCAAAGCTAAAAGGCGCCGGACCTCAAATCACCGCATATCACCGCATCACCGGGCAGTGGATCGGTTGACCTTCCTTCACCTGTGAGGGCCGTGCTGGGTTTGCTGGGTGAAACACCATGTTTTACACCAAAAAAGCTTGGGCATTCACTTGAACTCCGGAGAAAGCTTGGTTGTTTTTGGGCCCATTTCTCCGTCGATCTGAGGTCTTCGATTTCGGAAGGCCGACAAGCCAAAGAAATCATCCGACAGCCGATACAAACACTTGGAGAGATCGATACATAGATGTTATATAGATGTTATATAGTTGTTGGTTGTTATATACTTTATTTTAAGAGAGATTCATCCACCAACATCCTCCAACAGGTCAGACCTCCAACAGGGCCCCTCGCACCCTCAAACGAGCGTAGCATTTGGAGTTTAGGGCCTCTAGGGTAGTAAGTGATCAGTTTCTTTAGGGTTAAAAGATGCCGGGGGATGACCTGATGACCCCCTCTGATGTTTTTGTTGTTTAACCATGTTTCTTTCACAGGCCACATCACCGGCCGCCACTGACGCCCCTTCTGCGACGCTCAGCTTCAAAGGTCTCACGGCTCCTGGCGAGAGACTCCGACCGACTGGATGACCAACAGACACGCGTGGACAGGAAGTCTGGCGCAGTCCAACTGTTCATCCTCACATTTGTTTGGACAACTTCTTGTTGCTGTTTACGGAAAAGGACAATCATTCCCTTACTAGCAAGGATGCTATTAGGTGGAGGCCACAAGTAGGTTGGAGGCCATCACTACTAGTAACAAGAAACTACTAGTAATGAAAGATGTGTTTAGCTTGTTTTTTCAGGTCTCAATGAGCCACTTGAGACATTGTGACGGGTGGCTGGTGAGCACATGACTGACCGATGAGCACAAATGAGCACATGTGGAAGAGTTACTCGTCAAGGAATTCTAACATTTATCAATTTTGGGTGTATGACCGTGTATGATGATGAGGCCTGGTTGCAGGCTGACTTCCATCTCCAAAATAGTGAGGGAATCTTGTTTACCAACTGTTGCAGGTAAATAGGACAAAAGCAAAAAACCATCTAATATCAGAATCAATTCATGGTTTGAAAGAATATGGAAACGGACTTTGTGACTCTGGGGTTCCTCATACGATCGGTCCATGATGTGAAAATGACACTCAGGAGTTGAAGCATGCTTTAGCCGATGAACAGGATAACAATGCGGATAGGAATTCCCCTCACCCCCTTAGGGGTGGTCACTTTACAGAGGAAATTCCATCCCCTACAGAAAAATCACCTCTTTTTCCAGCTGCGACAGGAGTGACATCCACTCAAATCCACAGGTCTGCAGGGTGGAATTCCGCTAAAGGGCTGGACGTCTGATGAAAAAACCACTCAGTTTGGACGCTAGGTCCTCGAGGTCCTCGTTTTCTGGCTTCCTACACTGGTGTGATTAGACTTCCAGTCGCACCGGGCCTTCGCCGGGTGCGGAAGGGGGCCTCTTCCAGAGGCCCAGCTCGCCCAGCCGGTGCGACTGGATGCGATTCCCTCGCGACGGGGCGCTGCTCACTGAGACAGCTTCGCCTGCGCCTTCGCTGACGACCTGATGAGTTCGGAGGAAAACGTGTGAGTCGTTGGCGCCCCTTGGACCTTCCATTTGCGAAGGAAAGGATATACATCAAACACCCCAGACATGGATCTCTCACAACCTTTTCATATTGAGGTTTCCTATGGTTTTGTCATGTGTGATCAAAGAAACATCTAGAAGCGATGGCCCTCCATATATATATATATATATATGTGTATTATATCAGTAAAAATCATTAAAACTCATGAAACATCCTTCAGAACATTGCCCTGCATCGACAGGTCTTCGAGTGTCGTTTCGCTCGCTTACCTTGGAGCGTTCTTCGAAACCGGCCCGGGTCCGATCGGAGCGTTCTTCGTGGGGAAACCGGCCGGCATGGCATCGCCGAATCGTTGGTTGCCCATTGTGACGTCCTATGAATCAAACTGTTTCACACAGCTGTGAATTTCCTAGGGGCAACAATCAACTGGCGCAAGAAGTATACAGTATGGCGCTTGTGACCCAAGTGCTGGAGCTGGGTCGTCCCGCGTCTGAGTCGGTTTTTTGGGAACTTGGGGGGGTCTCCTTCCAGCCTTAGGCATTAGAGCAGGCCACACGTTCAGAACATCACCCAAAATACTCAATACTCATCCCAGGACCATCCTGTCTGGGTGTCCTGGCTGGACTACCCCACCCTACTCAAAAGCTTCCAGACAGGGCACCACCCTTGGATGGTCCATCCATACTCAATCCGTACTCTTCACTTGGCGAAACGGAACCCCAAACACGACCGCCATCTGGGATTGCCAATAGCCGATCAGCTAGGGTGGTTGGGGGGGGGGGTCAATTTAGGAATATATTCCATGTGTGAAGTGCCAGGGAACTCTTAGGAGAGCCGTTTTGTTTGTTTAAGCGTGGAAAAATACGTTAATTTGTGTCGTTGTTTTGCCAGTTGAAACTTGGATTGCTTTGTCATGTTTTGTCATTGTTTGGGAGGTGATCAATTTTTGTTTGTCATTACCTGGGTTATAGAACACGACCAACCAAAATGATACAATCAAAATCAAAAGAAAAAGACACAAATGCTTTGCCATGTCCAGAGTCAACGAGTGAACAGCGCATGAACCGAACGCATGAACCGAGCGATTTTCGAAGCCTACGAACAGAGTGTCGAACGCCAATATCAAAGAGAATAAGACGATGCACGGGTGTTACGATGCTTACCATGGTACCATAAAGACCAGCCACGCCCAGACCGCACTCCGGGATTGTCACCTCCAGCGGCAGAAGTGCACGGTGCTCTCGTTGGCGCCGGCGCCAGCCGGTTCCTGCAGTTGACAGAAGGGAGTCGTGCCCGGCTTCAATCAAACGTCGGACAATTCTCCTGCATGGCTGGGCAAGTGAAAACCCATCCACAATGGAGAAGTCTGGTGGTGCTGGGCGGCGGAGCTGATCCAAAGATCTTGTGACTGCCCTCCTGTCGCTAGAGGTTCGGCATGTGTTTTCTCTCTCCAAACGATAACACGTAGACCATTGTCATGTTGTCTGTGTTCATTACTTTTTTGGTGCTCTGATGGTGTGCTGCCGTCCTGCCACTGGCCAGGCGCTGGCTGCCCTGCAGCACCCTGTAGGTCACGATAGGGTTGGAGTAATCTCCTCTAAATCGGGCGCTTTAGCTGATTCGAGCTATGAAACAAAGTACCCCTGCAATCTTGTCGGGTGAGGAACAACACCAACATCATCCAACATACTTTTAATCAGCTGGACACATCAGTGGCTTGTTCATAAGGAGAGACTTGAAACACCTGCACACAGGCCGTGATAGGCCCTACATCTTCTTGAACCTACAGCGATGGCATCCAACCTACTAGTGACGGCCTCCAACCTACTAGCACCAAGCCCTACATCTTCTTGAACAGAAACAGTTGGAGACACATAAACAGTTAGATACCCCGAAACAGTTGGAGACGGCACATAAACAGTTGAACCAGTTGACCATTTCATGCGATTTGACATTGGTGTCCCCATGCAGGGAAATTTCATACTAGCAAGGACGCTACTAGGGGCTCCTGGCATCGCTACTAGGAGCAAGGATGCTACTAGGAGCAAAGGGCATCGCTACTAGGAGCAAGGACGCTACAGGGAACAATCTGAACAAGAACTTGCATGTCAAAAGCACCTCAAACGAAAGAACCTGAGAATGGACCCCGGGAAGACAATGAACATCAAAAGAAAAACAAACATTAAACACTCATATATTGTTATATATAGTTAATATATACAAACATATAAACAGCAAACTATCTAAAAACCACTGCTCATGGCAAAGATCACGGTTCCCTCCTTCCATCACCATGGACACGTCCAGCGAATTCCAGCGAGCCATACTTCGGTGCAACACGTCCAGCGAGCTCAGATCACGTGGCCTCACAGGAACCGGCAGAAATCTCTCCTACACACCTCAAGAGCCTCTGAGCCGATTTCGAAGACAATAGCGGATCAAACAGATTGGAAGTGGACAAACTGTTCTTCAACAAAACAACGCCAAAAAACATCTTCTTGAACTTGGCAACCACATGTAAAAAAACATTAAACCAGCTATGAAGCAGCTTCCAAAGTGTTTCACCGCCCGCAGTTCCAACAACAATCCACCCGACTCCGACTCTATTAGTCGGCGGATGCACTGCGGCCTGATACTTCTCATGCAACGCTTCAACGTGTTGTGCCCAGCTGTTGTTGATGGTGGCCACCTGCTCCGTCACGGCCCTCAGCTGCCTCAGCTGCTGGGCAGCGAAGAACATGCGACCCGGTGCCCGTCTGGAGTCACCCACGCCCAGCCGCGGCCCGGTGCCGTGGTCCTCCCCACGGTCCGTCCAAGCGGCTTGTCGCGGTCCTTCAGCTGATTGCGCAGCTGTTCGAGGTCCTCTCCTCGGCGGCTGAGAAGGCGTTCTCCGAAGCGGCTTGTTGCGGTTCGAGGCAGGGGGTCGTCAAGGTGTTTGGGGGATCATCCACATCCAATGAAGAATTCCACAGGGAGTTCAACCATGTTAAACCCATATGGTGCTCTCGCTGTAGGTTACCCAGAAACATGATGATTCTTTCACCTGTCCAGTTTAAACTTCTCTTGTTCCAGCCGAAGGGCCACTGGGGGTGGCGATCAGATCGCTCAGCACTCAGCGGAATGCTTCGAAGCGACCCAGTGGAAAAGACATGTAATCCTACACAAACACATGCACACATATATATATATATATAGACACACACACACACATGTTTGGAAAGCATGGCAAGCATCTTGAGTCAATTGCTTGCACCATCAAACCGAAAAACAAGACCATGCTACCCTCAGATTCTAGCCTCATGCTTTGCTGCCATCCATCGACGAGCGCCCCATCCTGCGGGAAACGATCCCCCTAAGAGGGAAAACAGGTACTGGTCTGGTGAAAACTAGATACTGTTGATGGGCAGTCCATTCTGGAGTATGACCCATTCCGAATTCGTCCCAGTCTGAGCATGTCTGAGCAGTTTCAGCACACGTGCACACGCACAACGCAGTAACGCAGTGCTAGAGAGACCCCAAACAACCATCCCACTGCATTCTCAGGGCTGCCGAAATAAACAGATCGAACAAACCTTGGTAATGCACAATCAAGAAATCCAAAGGTACCATCATTATCATTTCATATCACAAATACCTTTCTCACAGATCTTCAAGTGGTACTTCTGAACTGCTGCTGCTGGCAGGTTCAGCGGGAGCTACGCAGCAATCTGCTATCTGTAAAAATACAAATTGCGTTTCTGCGGGTCAATAGAACAACATCCGGAGGTTTTGGTCTGGAGTCCTTGTCACAATGTTCCTCAGCATGCTTCATTCCCAAAGATGCACACATAGAATCTATAGATTATTCTTTGTATTGGAGTCTGAGTGTCCCGTGCCAAGCATGCGGCCATCATCTATACCTGTTTAATGCCCTACCATTTCATGCTTGCCATGTTTCGCTGGGATTTCCAGCCCCCAGTCACCAGCAGACCGGGCTCAATCGACTGCCCGAGGTCCCCGTCCCGCACCATCCCGACCACACCCACCCCGACCGTGCCTTCGAAGGACGAAGCGAGGTGCCGCCGAGCCGGATCCGAGCGGCTCAAGGACTTCAACTCCAGGTCCTTCTTCTTGGAGCGTTCCTCCTGACACGAAGAGATCGCCCAGCATACCGATTCGGTCCAGAAAACGGCCGAGCCGGGTGTCACGTTGCTGAACTGAATGGTGTTAGTCTTACTTGGCAACTCATGGTAGACATTACATACCTTTTGGGTACGACCTTTTTGTATACCCTTTGAACATGGAGGGTCAAGGCCTTTCTCTAAAATAGTGATATTATGTCGTGATGTTCTTGTTTACCCACTTCTTACAGGTGCTTACCCACTTCTTACAGGTTTCTTGGACACCCCAAGACATGACATAAACCACTCCATTCATATTATATAGTAATACGCCTGCCTTGTGCCGCAGGAAACATCCGAACCCCGAGATGCAGGGTTTGGACATCGATACCCCCCAAAAAAGGACGCTTGTAATGCATTTCTTCACCATACCCGAATTTTCCAGATCAAACACCTGGATGAACACCCTGAATGATTGAATTTGAAACGATTTGGAAGCCCAACCCACCCCTGCCCAACCCACCCCTGTCCCATCCTTCCTTGCTCGATTTCTTCGCACTCCAAACACGCTACGCGTGTTCAGCTCCTCCGCCGCTCGCTGTGCCTTGGCCTTCTCTTCTGCCTCCCGCAGTGCCTGGCAACGCAGTCTGCTAGGGAGACAGTCGAGCACGAGTGAGCACGAGTGAGCAAGCGCGGACTGGACTGGATGTGTTGGTAGTTTTTTTGCTACAGGTATCCGTTGTCCAAGGATATGTGTGTTATAATGATGTTGTTTGTGCTGGACTGCATATTGTAACAACACATAGGTATATGTTATATGTTGTTATTTGCTGTGTGCAAAGGAAGATTTGCTTCGCACGGCGTGGTGTTACAGTATCTGTTATCCAATGCAGGCAACAACTACATCATCATGTGACAAAACTGAGAGACCTGGAAAACAACTGCTTCTTTGACAACAGCATGTGCCAAACAATTTGATCTGTTGCAGGAAGCGTTCAAATAACCTTCATTTCACTAACATCTTATATACCACATGGATGCAATCTGACCGACTTTGCTGTGACCATGTGCAGAAAGAAAGAAACACCCATCAAATTCACTCTGACCTTCGCCCCACGTCTTTAATGCGCACATGGGATTAACCAACCCCCCCCTATTAATCAAGCCCAGCTGAAGCCTCCAATACTAAACAAATTTGAACTCTGCAAACCTGCCTCTAATAATGACTTCCACCCCCCTATTAATCAAGCCCAGCTCCCCCAAACAAAAAGATAATTTGTTTTATGTTTATTTAGTTTTCCTTTTTTAGTATTCAAATGTTTTTCAAGGTATAATCTATCCAACCTTTTCCCATGCTGACCCTCTCATTCATCAATCATTTCTGATCATTCTGCTTGCTCTTCTCATCCTTCCAATCTGCGCAGCCAACCATCCCCCAAACCCCAAAAACTCTCTAGCAAAATTCTTTCATTTTCCCTGATTAAAACTCTATCAAAACCTTAAGGTTTTCAAGCTCACAAAGGGTACCCCTGACACAGGCCCTACCACCCCCTAATAGTAGGGACCCCTCCATCTTGTTTTCCAAAAGTTCTCGTGTGGTTTCCATCTCTTCCAACCCTTTCATCCCAACTCTTCCAAATACTAATTCCCATTCATCTCAATTCTTCCAAATACTAATTCCCTTTCATCTCCTTCCAAATACTAATTCCCTTTCATCCCAACTCTTCCAAATACTAATTCCCTTTCATCTC